AGATCTCTGGTGGCAACTGATGGAGGACAGTGTCAAAGGGACACCAGCCAGTCATTTTTGTTGATGGCGCTGTGGGTTAAACCACAGAGCCTAGGACTTGCCGATCAGAAGCTTGGTGGTTCGAATCCCTGAGATGGGGTGAGCTCCCGTTGCTCGGTCCCTGCTCCTGCCAACCTAGCAGTTCGAAAGCACGTCAAAGTGCAAGTAGATAAATAGGTACCGCTCTGGCGGGAAGGTAAGCGGTGTTTCTGTGCGCTGCTCTGGTTTGCCAGAAGTGGCTTATTCATGCTGGCCACATGACCCGGAAGCTGTACACCGGCTCCCTCAGCCAATAAAGTGAGATGAGCGCCGCAACCGCAGAATCGGCCACGACTGGACCTAATGGTCAGGGGTCCCTTTACCTTTACCTTTTAAGGAAGGATTAAACCCCTCTGGGATTTTTAGCTCTGGAAGGGTCATTTGATAGCCTTCTCCTCCATGAATTTCTCCAATCCTCTTTTGAAGCCGTCCAAGTTGGTGGTCATCGGTGCCTCTGAAGGGAGCCAGTTCCATAGTTTAACTTTCTTTCTTTGCTTCATGCACCAAACTCTCTTGCCATACTTGGTGCCAACATCCTCCAGTCCTCGTGCCATCTGGAACAGCCTCCCTGGACCGCACTGCCTCATTGACTCTCTGTCTATTTTTAAATTTAATTCAAAAAGATGGCATCACGCTCCAGTTTCTCTCTCACACACTTCCCATCCACTCCCCTTAAAAAGTGTGTCTTTTCATTCTTATTTCATTTGTGCAGTGCTTTGGAGGGGGCACATACTGTCCTTATGAAAGAGGTTAAAAGCAAAGTGGAGGTGGGGGTGTCCCCTTCTACCCTCATATGACCCTCTTGGCTCTCTTCATCCATCTCTTCTACAGATAAAAACAGGAATGAATCTCTCTGTGTGTCTCTATTTCTGAAATCAGATCTGTACACTAATGCTTTGCTGCACACCTGCTACAGCCCAGGTGAAACCATGCTTTGGCTCCTACAAGGAAGACATCTTAGTGTCCCTGTACAGTTGCATCAGTTTTTTGTTTTTTATTTTGCAAAATGCTTCACTGATATGCAGATGTGTTTCTGTGCATTGGCATACCACACACAAAGAAGCTTCCATGTGAACAGTCATATGATTGCGCTTTTAAAAAAGTGTGTGTGTGTGTGTGTGTGTGTGTGTGTGAGAGAGAGAGAGAGAGAGAGAGAGAGAGAGAGAGAGAGAGAGAACATGGACCACAAGAAAGAGGCAAAGCCAATGCAAGAGAAATGTCAAATTTCAGCAGAAAAGAATAAGCTTCGTTGGCAGGAGGGGAATACAAACAGAACCTATTTCATCATTTCTGAGGCTTTCATCTCTCTTGGTGTTTATGTTCTTATCACCAAAAGAGATCTTTTTGTTTTCCAACATGCTGAGTTTTCAGAAGTGTGTGTGTGTGTGTGTGTGTTGGGGGGGTCCCCGCTCCCCTAGCCTGGGCTGTTGATGTTTCTTTTCTGGTTGCTAAGCTTGTCTCATGCATGCTTAATGCCTGATGAGATCATGGTGCCACTTAAATATTTCACGGATAATTCAGGGTTATTCATTAACAAAATTGTGAACAAGCAGGTGTATTCATGAACTTCATGGGAAAGAAAACACACACACACCAGGAAATGACATTGAGGGGGAGCGGGTGTATGTGTGTGTGTGTCTCCCCTAACCAAAATTGTAAACTGCATTTAACATGAAATATATTAACCCTGAATTTTCTAATTTACATGGCTGTTATTTAACTCAAACCAGCATGCAAGGTGCTATGTTTTTCTTTTTTAAAATCTACCAAAGAACAAAATAAAATAACATTGGGATTAAGGGGTTTTCTCTGGGCAGTGGAGGGAATGTGTGATGTGCCCCATTGGTGTAGCTGTGGTAGCACTTGCCCTTCTTCTGATGGGAAATGGGGGGGTCGAGGAAGGTCAGTTGGCAGGGACTGAGAAATGTCCCTATTTTCATCTGAGGCATGTTGGAGGGTATGTTGTCAGTGGCAAGGAAGGCCAGAGGCAAAAGTGGGAGGAGCAAAGAATGCAAATTTTACCATTGTGCAGTAGGCTAGTTTCTACACAAAGTCACACCCCCAGCTCTGTCCTCAATCCAGGAGAGAGTAAGCGCTGCAGTCGGTGCTCAAGAACGCATGGCACTTGGTCAAAAAAACTCTTGCAGGGGTGCAAACCTCAAGAGCACTCTCACTTTCTGAGGCTCCCCGATACTGGTATTCAGAATCACATTGCCTCCAGCTGTGGAGGCAGAACTTAACCATCTATGAATTGGCCCAATCGTCTTTTAAAGCAATCCAAGCCAGTGTGGTGTAGTGGTTAGGAGCGGTAGACTCGTAATCTGATGAACTGGGTTCGCGTCTCCGCTCCTCCACATGCAGCTGCTGGGTGACCTTGGGCCAGTCACACTTCTCTGAAGTCTCTCAGCCCCACTCACCTCACAGAGTGTTTGTTGTGGGGGGGGAGGGAAAGGAGAATGTTAGCCGCTTTGAGACTCCTTCAGGTAGTGATAAAGCGGGATATCAAATCCAAACTCCTCCTCCTCCTCCTCCTCCTCCTCCTCCTCCTCCTCCTCCTCTTCTTCTTCTTCTTCTTCTTCTTCTCCTTCTTCTCCTGTGGGAGAGAGTTCCACAGTTTAACTATGCGCCGCGTGAAGAAGTCCATTCTTTAATCTGTCCTGAATCTTCCAACAAGGTGTAGCCTGGGAGAGTCTCGAGGGCCAGAGAGAGGCCTCAGAGGGCCTCAGGTTCCCCACCCCAATGTAGGTGGTCTGAAAAGAGACTGTGTGGAGCAGGAGAGCTATAGGGTTGGCCAAGCTCTCAAAAGAATGTGTAGAATGCAACAGCAATCACCACGATCTCCCGCTAGAGTGACTGGGTCTACAGCACATGCGATTCCACGATCCTGGCCAAGAACTGCGAATCCAAGAACCGGACACCGCAGAAGAGGAGGCCAGTATGGTGGGGGAACGCCCTGCTAATCAAAGGCCTTTTGCAATTAACTAGCCTCTAAACTCAGCACCCAAGGGCTGCCAAGAATCTGCAGCCAATGCAAACACAGAAACGTGAGCGATATAGGAATATAGATGCCCTTTTGCACACACACCTCTCTCTCACACATGCACACACACACACACACACACACACACACACACACACGAAGAAAGGCGCAGAGCTAAGAATATTGACCCTTCCCCTAGGAAGTCTCTGCAGAGAAACACAATGAGAATGCACAAGGCCATGCATGGCTGGAGGGGAAGAGGGAGGGACGGAGGCAGCGGCAGGGAGGGTGGGAAAGTCTCACAAATTTTTAATGAAAGTGCAATCAAACCTCCTTCCAGATGTCCAGCCAGATGTGCAAACAATGGCTGCACAGAGAACCTTGGGAGGAATGAGAGAAAGTCCTCACCTAACTCTCGGGGTTCCTCCTCCTCTGCCAGGGTGAAGAAAGGGTCCTTTGCTCCATAACCAAAGGGGCATTTCTCATCTGCCATTGCCCCTGTCTCCTTTTCCCTGGAAAAGGTCTTGAAGGCTGTGTGGAACCATTAAGGCTCCATAATTCAGGCTGCAACCCTGTATGTACTTAGGAACGTAAGACGAGCCTGCTAAGGGCCCATCTAGTTCAGCATCCTGCTCTCATAGAGACCCACCAGATGCCTCAATGGGAAACCTGCAGGTGGGATTTGATGCTTCCATTCAGAAGCATTGCTGCCTCCACCTGTGCAGGTGGAGTATAGCCATTGCGGCTAGTACCATTGATAGCCCCCTCCTCCATCAATTTGTCTAACCCTCTTTTGAAACCATCTAGGTTGGCAGCCATCCCTGCCTCCTGTGGGAGGGAGTTCCATCGTTTAAGTATGTGCTGCAGAAAACACTGAAGGAAAAAGCCACTTCCCTGTGTAGCTACAGGTACAGATCTGCTAGAATTGCAGATGCTCTGTGTCCTTCTGTTATGGGCTGCAAAATAAAGGGAATGATCAAAGAAGGCTCCCATCCAGTGCTTTTTTCTGGGGCTACGCAGGGGTACACACACCCCTAAACATTTTGTGAATCCAAGTTTGGCCTCATTGAGGGGCAATATTTCAATATGAGTAGGAAAATGAAAGTATCCCCTAGGGTGTTTTTTTTTAAGAAAAAAAGCACTGCTGTTTAAAATGAAGGCTACTGTGTAAAAGCCTCAAAGTTTAAGTTTTCTCAACAGTCTCATTTTTAGAAGCTTAAAAAGAACATAATCTACTCCATGACCTAGAAAATAAAGAAAAGCAGAGCTATGAAAGTATATGTAGTATATAAAGTATATATAATATATATATAATATATAAAGGATCGCCCTGCCCCATATGTGCCCACTCAACTGCTTTGATCGGCAGATTTGTCCACATAATTCCTGTTCTACTTCTGTAAGAACTTTATCTTTTAGTGTGGCAGCACCTACACTTTGGAACTCCCTGCCTCTTGATATAAAGCACTCACCTTTTTATCACATGCTAAAAACATTATTGTTTAGTCAAGCCTACCCAGGGGCTTGGAAAGCTAGTGCAATTTTTAATCTGTTATTGTAACTTTTCCAAATTAAACCATTGTCGTTAATTCTTCCTTATTGATAATTGTACAGTGGTACCTCGGGTTACAGACGCTTCAGGTTACAGACGCTTCAAGTTACAGACTCCGCTAACCCAGAAATAGTACCTCGGGTTAAGAACTTTGCTTCAGGATGAGAACAGAAATCACACAGCGGTGGCACAACGGCAGCAGGAGGCCCCATTAGCTAAAGTGGTACCTCAGGTTAAGAACAGTTTCAGGTTAAGAACGGACCTCCAGAACGAATTAAGTTCTTAACCCGAGGTACCACTGTATTGTTCTATCTGTTTTGTAAACCACTTTCAGTTTTTCTTGCAATTAAGTGGTATATAAATTTTACAAAATAAACAAATAAAATAAATACAAGTTGTCAGAGGGTGTGAGAGAGAGAGAGAGAGAAAGAGAGAGAGAGATTGGGGCGGAGGGAGGAAGGGGGAATCCTCTGCTTCCCAAGAGGGAGTCAATAATTAAAATGCATCAGTCAGGAAAATGATTCCCTCCCTCCCTCACTCTCTCTCTCTCTCTCTCTCTCTCTCTCTCTCTCTCTCTCTCTTTCTCTCTCTCTCTCTCATGACAGCTTTCTGTTCCCCAGCTGGTGTTGACAGCTCTGTGATCTGCCAATGAGGCCGCAGAAATCTCAGACACTCTAGCTGAGCGAGAAGGACTTGGAACTGCTGAAAGGTCAAGCAGACAATGTCCCAGAGAGCTGAGGTCTTCCCAGCACATCCTCTTGCCCAGCACACATGTACTGGCAAGAAGACGGAAGTCTCCTTTGTTTGTGCATTCCAGCACATCACCAGTGAATGGGGAGCCCACTCAGAGGGACCAGGCAGCCAGCCACAAGTCTATGGAATTTGCCATTTCTCAACCACTTGTCTCAGAAGTTGTCTTGTGTTGTTTTATTTTAGATGCTAGATTGTCAACAAAGTCTGACTTGCTTTTCGTTGGTTTTCTGCTTCTTGGCTGGGAGTTGTGTGGCCCCCACCTGTTCCAGTTCTCTCCCCCACCCTCATCCTTTGCAAAGAAACAGTGGTTTCATGGAGGTATTAAACAGCATGGGGGGGACACTGAACCCAGAGGAACCCCACATAGAAGGCTCCACAGGGCCAGAAGGTACTCTATACATGCCTGTAAGTTGTTTTAGATTGTTTTTAATCTTGCGTTATGCAACCTGCCCTGACGGGTGGGTAAATAATAAAAAGTAATAATAATTAAATAAATAATAACAACTCTGTGTTTCTTTTTTTAAAATGTGGAACATATGCTATCAAAGAGGCAAGGCATGCTTTGTTTGTTTCCACATCTCTCAAACATTTGTGATATTATATGAAATAAAATTATTAAAATTAAAGGGGGAAATGTTACTACCCCACCCCCAATGCCAAGAATCATTCTTTTCAGGGATTGTGAATGGAATGACCCAAATTTGTTTTACATGGACAGGCGGAGTCCCCCAAACCCTGGGCGCCCCCCCATGTGGAATAACGACTCAAGACAACGTGCTATGGGATTAAAATTGGCCACAACTTTATTACATTTCAGATGTGGGTAGACCTTGGCTAGAAAAGAATAAGAATAATAAGAATAATAATAATGTTTCCCATTCAAATGTAAATGCAATTGAATCCTGCCCCCATGCACACTCTCAAATGAGCCTTAATCTCCCACCCTCTGCTCACATTGCTTGAGATCATGGGAACGAAACCACCACCCACCCCAACATGGAACACCCAGCGTGGTCCTCCTGGACTGTTCTCAGGATCCCCCAAATGTAAATGAATTATCTCCGTCCACAAACTTCCTGCAACCGAAGTGTTGAAGGTTGATTCTATAGGGTGCGCACAGAACGTGATAACATACATGGGAGAATTAGGGAGTGGCTTTCCCATTGCTGAAATTGCAGAGGCATCTCTTGATTGGGCCTTCGACAACATGGCCTCACCTATCTGTTGGGAAAATAAATAAAAGAATGGAAAAAGTGGCGGTGCCGTGCTTGTGTGCATGTGTTTGCGTTTGTGTGCTCACACACACATAAACACGTAAGACCTGTGTGGGAGGGGTCTGCATTCTGTGCTTGTATGTTTAGCTGCAGATTGGAAACACATGCAGGCTGAAGGAAGCAAACAGACAGAAAAAGGGAAAGGGCTTCCTTCTTTAGGAGCTGTTATTGCTCTGCAGTCAAGGAAGGAATGCCCCCCTCCCCAGCCCCCACCCATTTCGTTCTCAGCTTCCAAGGGGGGCTCTTGTGTCTCGTAAATAACCCCAGCGGAGGCTTATAGTACAGTACACGGCTTTATTTTCTGAATCGGGCTGCAATGCACCTGAAGCTATAATTGTGGAGGGGGTTTTGAGAGAGGGTAAAATTAATTCCAAAGCAAAGAAAATTGGCTTTTAAAACAACTTTATTTCTCTCTCTCTCTCAATTTCTTTCCAACTGGAAATTAATTATTTAAAAAGCAAACCATCAAGGAAGCTGAGCCCCAGCCATCCAGAGCAGGGTGTTTTCTGTTCTTTTCCCCACCCTCTCCATATGAACTGATAAACATAATATACAGTGGTACCTCGGGTTAAGAACTTAAAATGTTCTGGAGGTCTGTTCTTAACCTGAAACTGTTCTTAACCTGAAGCACCACTTTAGCTAATGTGGCCTCCCACTGCTGCTGCGCCGCTGCTGCTGCGCGATTTCTGTTCTCATCCTGAAGCAAAGTTCTTAACCCGAGGTACTATTTCTGGGTTAGCGGAGTCTGTAACCTGAAGCGTCTGTAACCTGAAGCACCTGTAACCCGAGGTACCACTGTATACTGTATGTGAATATCCAAATTTTGTAATGCAGAGCTCTGGCCAAGTGATGTGCAATACCTGCAATAGCTAGAAAATTGCTATTTGGTGACTTCCTGCTCCCAACCAACAACAGCGGCAGCTTTGTGTGCAAAGTGTAAGTGGCAAAGTAGACATTCAAAAAAAAAATTGAGTGTTTGCTAATATATTTTATATTTTTGGAGGCTCCAAAATTTTTAACATCTTTAAGATTTCTTTCAAATAGCCATTAGATGTTTCCAACATGCTTCCGTTTTATCTTTAATTACATCATCGTAACATTTTGATGTTTGCCACTCCGGACTCCCTCTAACAAATAAGAATCCCAACTGGAGATAAGACAGTGGAAAACCAAAATCAAGAAATTTGCCCACCTTTAATTTTAATCACCACAGTGCTGGAAAGTGGCTTTCTGAGCCTACGCTCCAAGAGCAGCCACCTAGAGGATGCTGAAATTGAGCACCACGATGTTGTGGATGCTCATTTTTATTTTTCATGGAGGGAGGGAGAAGTAATCCCCAATGAGGTGTGCAAAGCCATATGGCATTCGGTGAAATGGTGGGAAAATCCTGTGCCTGTTGTCTTCCATCAGCGGTGGATATTTCTTTACGAGCAACACCGAGGTTTACATTTTCCACCATCCAAGTGATTACCGAGGAAAGAGATTGTCTCATTTTCTCATATACATGTATCTCGTCTCGGTTGCCGTGGCAACAGTGTGTATGTTTTTCAGGACTGGAAGGACCGAGGGATGGAAAAGGAAGCCAGGGAGTGGACACGAAGGGAAGAGTCCAGCAGAAATTTTCCTCTGCTCCTCCGTGGCTGATCAGCTAATACTAATTTAATGTGCCCTCCCGGGATTAGTCATCGAATCCGAGATTTCCTTCTTTCTCCTTCCCCGCCTCCTTGCCAAATCAACTGTATTTATTTATTTTTCGTCCCATTTTTCACGTTGATAATTAACTTTGTCGTGTTCTCAGTTTATGGGGGAATTGAGGATGGGAGCCAGACCAGAATGCAATGCAGAACCATAGAAACACAAACAAGGGATGAGGTCTCTCCCAACAAACACAGAGTATTCTTTGGGAGGGCCAACATCCTCACCAGTGACCTTATTCTAGGAGATGCCAAGTGTTGAAACATAGGAAGAGATCTGCTGGATTTGACCAAAGGCCTTTCTCAGGGATGGGGAACTATTGTGAGTCTGAGGGCTGCATTCCCCTCTGGGGGTCACATATCAGTGGGCAGGACCTGAGACAAAAATTGTGTGGAGTAATAAATGTAAATTGCATAGTAGGCTGGTTCCTACACACGTTGCTACCTGTCCTCCATCTAGGCTAAGTTTACCAGATGTCCCTGTTTCACGGGGACAGTCCCCAGATTTACAAATCAGTCCCCTGACAAAATCCATTTATTTAGTAGGAAATTGAAAAGTATCCCCGGATTCATTGAAAAAAAATCTGGTAACCTTAATCTAGGCAAGCAGCAAGCATCATTGGAGTTCAAGGACCCATTCCAGCCAAGGAAAAAATACTCAAGGAGGGAGCAGAGCAGGGCTGGAGAGGGTTGTGGGCTGCAGAGGCTCCAAAGGGCTGCATAGAGAGGCTTGTGGAGCCACATTTGGCCATGGGCATCTCATACCCTCCAACACTTTGAAGCCAAAATCTGAGATGCCATATTCCCAGATGCCATCTTCCTGCATTTTATCGCATGAGCATGGAAGCCATTTTGATTTCTGTGATCTCTTGCAATTTTGCATTGTGGTTCCCCCCCCTCCAACCCCCCCCCACTTTTTGGCACTGTTTTGGGGCACTGCACAAGACTGCAGCCCTTGGGGGGACACACACATTTTTTTTCAGGGGAAAACCGCACTGCAAAATTGCACAGGATCATGGTAACCAAAATAGCCACAAGCCGGCACACTAACACTCTCCTGCCCTATGAACTTTGATTTTGCACTAACATCAACATCATAGTAACAGGGCAATTGGCTCAGCTGTCCAGTCTGCCGTCGCCATTTGGGCATCTCTTGTACCAAGAACAAATTGTTCAATAATGAATTATGGCCCTGGTGATTGCACATGTCTTTTTGGAAAGGATCAAAGTGGATGTCACTCTGTCTCCACAGAAAGCAATGACAAAACACGATAGGCATTATATAGGTGCCAGGACTCATGTTTCCTTCCATGCCCTTGGCTCCGATTTGCTCCAGGTATGCGTGAAGTTGTTATCAGTTCAGCCAAGCACATCTATTGTGTAAAGTCAACGGTCTCCTTCTCTTGAACAGGCTTCGAGTTTGAAAGCAGGTAGGAACACGCAGCCACGGTATCAAAAATCAGAACACACAAAAAAACAGAATTGCATTTTATATACACAAACACACCCTTGGGATTTGTCGCCTTCAGTTACGATGTGGCACTGTTTCCGTAGTTTGTCGTGGCTAGAGTACATCTCTGAATTAAGCAGAAATCATATCTGGAGTTGATTGATGAACCGATTAAGAGGAACAAGCCTCTCTTTGTTCCTTCCTGATATCTACAAAAGTAGCTGGCTGCCTGGATATATATTTCTTCCTGCTTAGATCCTTGAATTAAATTAGAGGCAGGCAATTCCACTGCTCTCAGGAGCCACTCAGCTGTCCAGTGAGTGGTCTGAGGAACAGAAATGACTTTTGGCACACAAACCTCCCTTTTCTTAGATCAAAGGTAGCCAACGTGGTGCCTTCCAGCTGTTGTTAAACTACAACTCCCATCCTCCCAAACCA